TGAAATTTGATGGACTGGAAGTGATGGCTTTGTTTCCATTTCCCTAAATGTTTCTTATGTGACTATGAAGTTGCTGAAGAACTTCCCCTTATACTTATATATCTGAAAAAGCCCTTTGGACTTTTAATATATGTAATGTTTTCATGGTAAAGCTGAGAAGGATGCTTAGAAGAAAACTAGCTTGGCTCATCAAAAAAGGGCAAAGTATTTGCAAAGCCAAAATTGAGGGTTACAGTTTTGCCTGTGACTCTGCAGTAAGATCACACACATATATATAATGTGCCACAAATATTCACAGGCCAAGTAACTGCTCTTTCTAAAAACTTCTAGTTTGTTCCTCATGTCTCTATGCAGAACTGCTGCAGTGAGTGGTGGAAAACAAATAGAGTACCAAGTGTGTTTAATGGGAGGTGAAGGGCTTGTTTGATTAGATTAGGGCTTCAGCTGGCCTTTATGCCCTTTTATGCAATGAGAATTCCTAACACCATGTTTTAAACCTGATTTTTAGTATGTTATATGCTAGTGTTTTACATGCTGTGATTTCTTTTGTAGGGAGTGTTTCTGAAAGTCATTACCCAGCAACCTCTGTGTAGTACAGATGTGCTAGTCAATGCTGCCATCATAAAGTTTTAAAGGTTTGTCACACTGTGTGCTTTCATATTAAAAAAAAGATTACCTTTGATAGGTATTAAAAAATATGTTCAAAACATAAATTTATATTTGGCAGGTCACATGTGTTTCTCTTCTTGATGAAGTGAAGACTCAGCTACAGAGAGATAGGGCTTTTTGTTCTGCTTTATTTTTCATTTTGTGTGTACGTGTGTCTGAACACTGTAGCTAAGGATTTGAAATGGCTACTTTGGTCTTATTATAGAAACAAGTGAGACCAAGGGCTGTGACCTGAACATTAATTAATGTATTACAAGAGATGAGTAGTTTTCCCATATGAAACATACCTGTGCAATAAATAAAAGGTAATTAATTCTGGATGGCAGCATTTTACAGCAATTAATGGAGAGGAAATAAAGCCTACGTGAAGTAATGTATGGTTATGCAGTGCTGCTCTCTATCAGAGTAAGGGCAGCATTATTCTGCAGCCTACTAACCATTCTGCTCTTTGTAATTACCTGTTAAAACTACACCTTTTAATATTTGAATGCAAATGGACATGCAGAAATGTGGTAAATAGCAGAGTCTTGATGTAGGGCTCAGACAGTGCAGCCTGGTCACAAACAATGCTGTGTAATCAGCTGCAGGAAATGTTTTCTCTTATGGTAGTGTGTAATGGCCTGAACTGTCAGGAAGGGCAAAACATTAAGGCTCTAGGAATGAAAAGTTCTCATGCAGATTGTGTGGCATCTGCTGTCATCAGCTAATTGTCCATCAGCTGCTGTGCACCTGGAGAAACAAAGGCATTAGACTGTTACCACTAGACTATGGAGAATTGTGGGAGGTGGCTCTCTCGGCCACAGAGACACTCCTTAGTTACTTTTAGGAACTTAGGAAAACATAAGTGTGCTGCTCTCTGCATTTTCTGCAGCCACCAAACTTGGATGCTCCTACCTCTGTAGCCTCTTGCAAAAGGTCCAGGCTCTTCCAACATGATTGGGTTTAGTTTGGAGGAAGCCAGGCGGTGCTCTTTTTGATGGAATTTACCGTGAAATTGGGAATTCCTCCTGGGTTTTGTTATGTTCAAGAGAACTCTGTCTAAGTTGGTAGTTCAGCTTTGGAATTGTGTTCCATCGATGTCAGCTGTAGTTTACAAGTAAGCTCTAGTATTTATACCAGCAATATTTTTTAAAAAGAAGATATGCTGAAAATAGCTGTAAATATATTCCTCATTCAGCTGTAGGTGTTGGTAGGGACTGAAAATTTACCATTCTGGCAATGGCAATTGTTAAAGCTAGATTTACTTTACAGGTACACTTGGCTGAATGGTGTGGATGAAGCTTTATGTGCTCATGTCTGTTTAGTGTCTCTGAATTAAAATGTCACTGTATGTAACTGTGGCAGCCAGGGAGACCTTCCTTGGTGTAAACAACTGAAGTGAAGGAATCCTCTAAGCAAGATTCCATGGTACAGTGTGTATGTATATACAGTCCTTCTTTTCGTTTTACTTAAGAGACAAAAGCTACATTGATCTGTTTTTGAAGGACATTGTAAGTGCAGGTTTGAAGTAATGCAGTTGTGTATGTGGTGTGAGCATCTGACCTGGAATGGGGCTACTGGAGAAGAAATAACATTTGCTGTGTGTCTGGTCTGTGTTGAGTATTTCTGTAGAGCCAAGAAAGCATTTAAGGAGACTAATGAGCCTGAATGTATGGATTTAGCTTTTGCTCCCCAAATACCTTATGGACTCTCTTGCTTACCTACAGAGAGTCATTCAAGTTACCTTTTTTTGTCTGTGTGCTCAGTCAACTTGAAGCAGGAATTTGGCTGAACAAAATGAGAATCCTGTAACTTCTTTCAGAAAAACGAGAGGAAACAACTTGTCTGCTTCAACACTGCTGTGATTAACTGTTTTTTTCCAAGACAAATGCTAAAAAATTCTGAGCATTAGAAAAAAGGTTCCTTGCACTCTGCTTGTCCATGAGAAGTGCTATATAGAGTGTACATCTTTTGAAGGACCCTGATTTTGTCCAAGTATAATATTTCGAGAGCAGTTACATAATCCGTTCTTTACTTTTAATTTTTTTTTTGTAGGATTGACTGGAGTGCTGCTGCTTAGTAGCTGTATTTCCTACGCTTTTCATCAAGGTATTTTGATTTTCCTTGTACAGAACAGAATGTTGCTTCAATGGTAGTTCTATAATTAACTCGGAGGCAAACTTCCTCTGTTTCCTCTGTAGGTAATATGCAGGGATATGAGTCAGTAATAACCAATTAGCTTGTTTATAGAGTTCTCCTTAACTGCCCTCGAACTGCAGCAGCAACAATAAATGAGGAGCATCTTAACTCTTCTTTTGGCTGCACTATCTGCAGTCAAAATAACCATCTGCATAAAAACCACTGGTGTTAACTGGACTCATAAATACTAGGTATAGTTGTATCTCCTCCCTCCTATCCTACAACCTGGCCTGCTCTGTGGGAATTATGGCCTTGGAGTTCTCGTTGAGAAGACTGGGAACTGACTTTCATCTGGCAATAGGTGTGGCTTGGTTACTGATGGAAAAGGGCAAGGCAGGACAGGATTCTTGTCAGTGGAGAAGAAAGGTGTACACAACTTCCATGTGCTCCTTGGCTGCTGTAGGGTAACACATATGACTACTGGATGAAAAGCTTTCCTTTCAGAGATGTATTTGGAGGTTGAAGATGCTTTGTAGCTGGGATATTTACCTTAACTATGGTTATTTGTTTTTAAAAATTTTTTTCATAGATCTGGTTAAGAATTAAGAGTTGGACTTTGAAGTATTTGAGCAACTTGCTACGGCCCAAGTCATGACGCTCCCATTTCGAAAGGACTTGGACAAGTACAAAGATCTCGATGAGGATGAAATTCTTGGCAAACTTTCAGAAGAAGAACTGAAACAACTGGAAAATGTTTTGGATGATCTTGACCCTGAGGTAGGCATTACCCAAAAGAAGTTTTATTTTTTTCATTTGTTCCGTAACCTGGGTAAAATAAGTTGAGTCTTTGTATGATATACTTTTGGACAGAGCTTTTTCCTAGTCTGCTGGTGATCTTACACATATACATGTGTATAATGTTTATTTCCTGTTTGCAAGGAACTGCAATAGAGGAGAATGGAAGAAAGGATAGTCATGAGGAGCTTTCTGGGATTTATTTATAAATAAAAATTGCTCTTTGTCATGTTCTTGAAAAGAAAGTTTATTTAGAAAGGCTTGTTTAACTTTCCTGTTTCCAATAAACAGCCCTTTTGCATCCATTTTTATTTTACTGCTTCTGCTGTTAGAGTTTGATGGGAGAGACAGGGTGCTAACCTCTTCTGAGGATTCCTGGTCCTGTATCTGGTAGTCTGTATCTGTCACTGTCCTCATGCTGACTTTGTAAAGAGAAGGCAAATAATTACTGAGCTCCTGAATGTTTCTGTCAGCATGGGGTATTGGAATATTGGGATATTAGAGCTTTCTGTTATAATGAGCTGAGTTGTCCTCTACTGATACTGCAGCTAATGTCAGACTCCAAGACTTGTGTTTTCACCTAGTAGTTCTCTGTTTTTCCTTTAAGATTAAGTTCAATCTTGATGTTTAGGGATCAGTTAAGAATATTATGATCACCTATTTTGTTGTGCTGCAAGATATTATTGATCTTTTAATTGCCTTTGGCTTTATGGGCATTTTAACAGGGGAGAACTGCCAAAAGAGATTGGTTGTCTTTTTTAAAAGAGTGTGAATTCCTATACATTCTGTTCTTTCCTTACTAATATCCTCTTTTTTTTTCTCTGTAGTTAAAATATGTTCATCATATCAAAGAAACACCCCACTTTGAGTCAGGTCAAAAGGTAGCAATACTCTGTGTTAAATGCCAAACAATAGTAGAGTCAGTTGTCTTAAAGACTTAGAAACATATAAGTAAATGATAGAGGAAGTAGGCTTTTACTGAATGTCTAAACTGGAAATAGCTGAGTCTTATTTCCTACTGCTCATTTAAACAGTGCTCATTCTAGAAACAAAATTCAAATTAACTAGCAAATCGAGTGGTGGAGTTATTGTACTTAAAGAATTGCTTCAGTGCTATTCAGAGGGCAGTGTACTGTATTTTACATTGCATTCTCTGTGTCTAAAGAACAGGTTACTTTGTGTCCTCCCGTGCCCCAAAAAAAGGAAGTTGGCAGGGGATCAGAGTTTGCCTGAAAAGGATGTCTCAGGTTTGAACCTTGTGGAGAGGGAGAAGGAAGAGGGAAATGAAACTAAGCAGGTGTTCCCCCAGCCTTTCTAAGCTGTTCTTGTTTGCTCCATTTGTTTTGCAGAATGCTCTCCTGCCCGCAGGCTTCCGGCAGAAGGACCAGACTGCAAAGAAAGCCTCAGGTCCCTTCGACCGGGAGCGGCTCCTGGCGTACTTGGAGAAGCAGGCGCTCGAGCACAAAGACAGGGAGGACTATGTGCCTTTTACAAGAGAAAAGAAAGGTAACACCACCCTTTCCGGTGCAAGTGGTTATGAAATCCCTGAAGTGGACCAGCCAGAACTGCTGTGAACCAAATTTTATTGGAGCACTGGCAGCTCTAGTGCTTTTTAACTCGCGGTGTTCCCAAGCGAGTGCTGCTGTGCAGAGGCAGGAGGCTTCCTGTTCAGGCATTTTGTGCCTCTGGAGCTGGTGTGCTGTTTGTATGTAGCACAGGAAGGAAATAAGACTCAAAGATTTTATCATGAATTGCCAAGTTCTGATGGGGATGGGATCCTCAAAGTAAGAGCTAACCCTGATTTGCGTCAGTAATAACAAATGCTGTCATTGTGCCTGTGGCTTGTGCCTTGTGCTAAACACAGACAGCAACCTTTGTAATACTGTGTGGAATTAGAAAAATAGCAGTTGAGCGGTGTCGTGGGAGACACTCAGTAATGTTCAAAGATGCTGTAGGCTGACAAGGCCAGACAAGTGGTGTATGCAGTCATGTTGTTTTTCTAATGTCCTTACTGAAAGGTTTAATAAGATTGCATAGTTAGTACTAACTAATTACATAGTTAACATCACAACAAGTTTTGAAATCTGGCAGTGGTTTGTGGTCTAAGAACCATGGACATGTTATTAAAACCAGGGATTAGAAATTTTTGCTTTGGATCTGATATTCTCATTGACTTGATGGGAGCATTTGCTTTTTCAAGAGAAAATTAAGTAATAATGTGCTTCTTAAATATTGTAAGAATAACTTCATATTTTTCCCATAAAACAAGAGTTCCCAAATCCACTGTGCCTTACAAAGCAGTATTGGTAAGGACAGAAACTCCCAGAGCTGTGCTGGGTACATGTGCATAGGAGGAGGCCTTTAGCTGTCACCACAAGTGTTTGAGTGCCTATGAATCCGGGCTTGTCTCAACCTTCCCTAGCAGCAGGGGCAGATCTGCTGCACTAAGACTTCAGCAAATTGTTGCTAAGCTGTATTCCAGCTGCCCAAGATGAACAGGCTCCTCTTTTCTTAAGTTGAAACCCTTCAATTCTACTTAATTCTCTGGCGTGAATCATAGCTTATTTCAGGTTTGAGTCTTCATTCATCTACTGAGTTTGTCTATAAGATAGCGGGGTATATTTGGTGAAAATTTTCTTGGGCATATTTGCATTTTCTCTGCCTGTGCCAGGTACTTGACAATGCTGGTGCCTTTCTACTTTTTCCTTGAAGTAATAGAGGGATTATGACTTTACAATGTGCTGCACTCTGTGTATGATGTACTGCTTCCTTCATACGCTGTGTTTTACCTTAGTTTGAAGTTTAACACCACTTGTGTTGAGATAACTGTGACACTTCTTTGCTGACAGGATCTGTAAGAGTAACTGAGATAAGGATATTGCAACGTACTGAATGCAGAAGGTACCCCTAGCAGCAGGTATGGTGCCTTATGGTTCAGATAGGTGGTTCTCTACAGTCAGCTTACATATACATGCACACAGCACAAGTATTTGTTTGGGTAGATAAAATCTGTGAGAATCGTGTAGAAAAACAGAAGGGACCAGCTGTAACGTACATCTTGGTTAAGAAAGATCAAATGTCATTTCCTCTATGTAATAAAGTATTACTAAACAGCAGTGTGTCTGCATGTTGCAATGAGTCATACCAGTTTAGTTAGTAAAATTTCCTGTATCTCTTGGAAAAAAAAAAAAAATTTGCTGTTTAATAACTTTTTCCACCATTTATTTTAATCCCATAGAAGAAGAGAAAATAATATGAAACATGGAATGGAGCTTACTTTCATTAAAACTAAAAATGTGGAAACAAATGTTTTGTGTGGAAATTCATGCTCTGGTAAATAGGCAGGAGGCAAGAAGGCCAAGCTCATTTTGTAGTAGGTGAGGGATAATGTTTCCTTTTCCCCGCATGGAAATATTATGGTTCAGCTGTGACTTGCTGCCATGTTTGTATCATTTTGCACAAAAATGGCAAATCTATGTAACTTAATCTTTTAAATCAAGAAATCATTATATTTATCTAGATTTAGAACTTGGAAAGGGCATGAAGTAAAACTTAATGCATGTGTAGGGTTTTTTTTTTTTTAGAGGGAGCTTGTATTTTAATGTGCTTTTCTTTAATACTAAAAGAAAAAAAATAACAAACAACTAGGCTGGATAATAATTTTTCTCTTTGGCTAGAACAATGTATTATGGAAAAACGCTAAAAACACTGTAGAATAGGGGCAGGTGAAAATCTTGCCTGATTCTTCTGTTAATTCAGAAGAAAACTGACAAATGCAACCTTCACTTCCAGAGGTTTTGGGAGGAGAGAGATGGATTTGAACTGCAGGTATTTTCTTGGTGCCATTTTTTGGGTCAGGATTTGCTAAAACATTTCTGTGTGCCTGGCTGGTCTTGTTGCTCTAACTTGGCCTAATTATTCATTTCATGGAGTAAGAAGGGGCAAATCTATCCTTCTCTCTCCCTATTCTATTTTAGTAGAACTGATGTCCTGCATGGTGATTTGACCAGCAGATTTATCCAAGAAGCTTATCCTGGGTTAATTTTAGCCATCCTGGCTTGCTGCTGATCCTGGTAACCTTGTTTTCCTACTACAGTGTAAAGGAAAATCCTCTCTTCCAGGTGTCCCAAGTACCTCATTTTGGGGTAAGCATGTTATTAAAACACTGTTGCATCTCTTTCAGTGATAGAGGATGTGATTTCTCCCAAGTCTTTGGAACCTCTCTTTCATTTTGTGCTATGAAATGTAGAAGATCTGAAATAATGTAAAGTGTCCTCCTGTAGTGAGATGAACAGTGCTAAAGTAATGTGAAGTTTAACAATCCCTAAATGATATCCTATTCCATTTTTCCAGTGCCTGATTTTGTTTCTAAAAGCATCAGTAAAAATTTACTTTGTTTTTAAACATGATTTAACGATTTAAGTCACATTCTGTTCCAATTAAGTGTTGAACCATACAGTAAAGCATTGTTCGACAGATTCATGAGAGCAATGTGGTAATAATTGCAACAAAACTAGCTTTGTCTTAATCTGTGCATGGAAGTATGTCATAAAGATTTTACAAGGCATACTGCAAGCAGAAGGATCTCTCATGCAAACAGTGAAGGCTTTAGTGCTGGAGACTGTTGCCCCTAAAAGCCTTCCACTCGTCTGACCAATGCTCCCCACTTCTCTGGGAACAGCAAAACAACTGAATTATTGCACCTGAGATAAAAACATATCTAAGATCAGTAATGTACTTTGTGCTGTATAATGGAAGGCATTAGCAAAGTATTATGTAAACTAAACTTTGCATTTCTAGCCTTTGCACTTTCCTAATTGTAGCCTATTCTTCCAACTTTCCCGTTTCATTCCTGCCGGGAATGTTTGTTCTGGGTAAATTTGCGGGATTCGATGATCTCAGAGGTTTTTTTCCAACCTAGCTGATTCTGTGATTCTCTGATTCTACTTTAATGCTTGGGGCTTGTTGAAGTTTGAGGGGTTTGTTTGTTTGTTTGTTGTTTTGTTTTGATTTGTCTGTATCACCCAGAAAGTGTTGTTAGCCTCAAACTGTGGCTGACTAGGGCTCTTTTGTTGTCACCCTGCTCAGTTTGTTGCTCAGGATCACCTCTGCCTTCAGCTGCAGCAGGATTTGGGATGCTGTGTTCTCTGTTTGCCATTGAATCCCTGCTCTTTAAAGAAGTGTGTTACATGTTGTGAAGTGAAGCTAATATCCTGTAGGAGCTTTGCAGAAAGAGCTTGTGGGATTGACATTCTCCATACAAGAGCACTAGAACAAAGTAACATATGATACTCCAGCCTTAATGTAAAACAGTTTTCTAACTCACTGCTCTGTGGTCTGTAATCAGATAATGAATAACAGTTCTGTTTCTGCAGTAAGATACTGAGGAAGTCACTTGTATGTTGAATTTAAAAAAATTAGTATTAAATTGTGCTCACAAGTGAATTGATGAACTTAAGTCTCTCACATAGTGAGAACTGGAGATGGATGAAGTGTGGATTATACAGATTTCTGAACTGAGGAGACTTTAAGGAACATAAGATGTAAGGAATATATCAGATGTTACTTTTCTTCATGAAGCCACTGATGAGAAAAACTTGTATTCAGTTGTCCTGAGGTAACACTTGATTCATTTCCACAAATGGAGTACTGTAAAAGAGGATTTTAGACTTTCTTCTGCTGTGTAAAGTGTGGCTGCTTGCTGGAATGGGGGAAGGACTGTGGGATGTGTGAGAATATATACCAGCAATATGCAGTGGTGGCCCCATTGAACAGCCCTGATTTCTGCAACATGTTGAGCCCCACCTTGGATACTGTGAGTCTGTGTATGAAATGTCCAGGGCACTTCAACAAACAGCATCCAGTGTTCCTGCCTTTTGAGCAATACAGTTGTGTGGAACTTGGGACTGCAAATTTATTCTGTAGCAGATAAAGCCTGTGACTTAATCCTGGGATGTGCACATCTAACATTTTAGCTTAAAGGCATAGAAGACCTGAATATATAATTATTACAAAAATGATGTGAACATCCCTGAAATTTGCCTCTTTGTGTTGTATTGCTTAATCTTTGCAATATCCTTGTCGGCTGAGAAGGAGGATGTCATGTTCCTTCATGTAATCAAATCCCTGCTATTTGGAAATGTTCCACTTGAGGGCCAGGAAAGCTGTACATCTCATGGGCTGCACAGATGTGTAGTGGTTTCTGGTTTTTTTTTTTATTTAAAGCTTGCATTAGTGAGGGAGGAAGGGAATTGCCAAACTATCTTGGCAGCAGGCCTTGAGTTAGATCATTGTCCCCAGAGACACAGGGGTCTTATCCCTTTTGAAGGAAGTTCATTACTAGAAGTGGGGAGTGGGGAAGGACCTGCTTTTGTGTGTGCATTGTAAACCTCTGAATTCTGGGCTAGGATGACATGAAGCCAATGAATGAGAGATTATGTACACAAGGGTGTGACCTGTTTTATAACAAAAACTGCTCCTGACTCAGTTCATATGACTGGAGTTGGCTGCAGTGAACATTTCTGGAGGGCAGTGGCTTTTAACATTTTTGCTTTATTAAAAACTGAATATACTACTCACTCTCTTCAGGTTTTCTTAAGAGTCAGGCACAAATGTATAAATTTAGTCTTACTCTTAGAAAGCAAATGTTTAGAACCAGACGATCCTAACCTATGAATTTAAGAATTACTTAAAAGCAACATCAGGAAAAGTAACTCTTTTTTTGTAAGTACTGTGTGATGAAGCAGACAGAAAGCTGATCTAGGTTGAAATACATTTTTGCAAAATTGCTTTTAAATGAGATTGATTTCCTTCTGCTCTCTGCCTGCTCCACTGATGCTGCAGAGAGGATGGCTGTTTCATGGGTTAACGAAAACCTTGTCAAACATTCTTGATCTCTTCTGAAAATTACAATTAAAGTTGAAAGTTATTTTCTCCTCAATAGGTGATGCTGGTAAAATAAAATGGTAGAAACATACCATATCAATTATATTAAAATAACCTGCAACATCTACTACCTAAGCCTTTACTTTATGAAAGTTTTCTTTTAATCCTGAATCACCACAGTTTCTTTTGCACTGTCCATCAGAGCTGAGATATGGGTGGTAATACATGTCAGCTGCATTCAGCTACTGTTTGAAGTCATTACAGTTATGTAAGGAGTTTTATTTTCTGCTTCTAAATATGGATAATGACCATTTATACAAGTTTCCAAAGAGATAGCAACCCAGGAACAAAAATACTGTGTTGCTAGCAACAGATCTTGATCATCAGACTGTGTTGTCAGAGAAAAACCTGATGTACTTCTCTGTAATCTGTGCTAGAGGTAAGGCATTAACTTCCTTTAAAAAGAAAATGAACCACAACTACTTTACTCTAGGATGGGAACTTGAAGAGAGAGAGGAGATGGACAGGTTTTGTGATGCCTGTGTCTAATGTGAGACACAGGACCTGGCTTCAGCATTGCTTCCCACCAGTGGTGAAACCAAAATCCCCCTTCATTTCCCCTAAATAAAACTGAAACATCCCTATAAAGCTTTGTGTCACTGGGAGGTATTCAAAAATGCTAAACTTAGTCTTAGCCCAAGCACGTAACAAGATAAACTTGTGAGCAGTACGAGGGGAAAAAAATCTTAAGTCTCTGGCTTCTGCCCAGGAGGTCTGTAATTGTGTAATTGGGATGAGCTAGGGTGGTTCCTGTGTGGAAATATTGTATAACTATGGATATGGAGGAGGGTGGGTTCCTGAATTAGAACTGAGACTTCATAGGAAGACTATCAACACCACTTCCTACCCCAGGAAATAACAAAAGGAAGTGGAACACCTTTCCCACAGCTCTTTCTGCTGATAGCTGAGGCAACTTGGAAAGTCTGAAAAACTTTAATAATTGTTAAGATTTGATTCACGGTTGTCTAGTTGTGAATTACTTCTATCAAATGTGTCAGTACCAGAGCTTTTACTTACCATGTTAATTTGCCCAGAACCTAAGCACACCTTACCTCTCCTGGGCTCTTACCCAGTGGTAGATTTCTGTGTTCTGAAAGGCCAATTCTAAACCATTCACAGCTGAACTGTTAGAATATCTTGCTTGTATTCTGATTTCCTACCCTAACTTTTCAGCTGAAGATATATGCAGGAATTATGATAACTACACAGACCTCTACTTAAAATGCATGTCTTCTAAAATAACTTTTCTTATTACTTCCTGTAATAACTAAAAAGTTGGTGGTATTACTGTTGCTTCTTTTGCCACTGAATCTTCCACGGCCTTTCTAAGTATCATTTCAGGAAACAATGTCATTGCCAGAGAAATCTGTTATATTGTTTTGTGCTATTCACAAACCATGGTTTTCTCAAGCATCTTGGGCATCTCTTTTTTTACTTCAGAACTGAGTTCACATCTGAAATTAGAAATTATCATGTATGCTGTAAAAACTGCACTGAATACGCAGGTCTGTGATTTCAGGTAATTCTTTGATATACTCTCTCATTCAGGTTAAAGTTCTGCCTGGGTCCCTTCCTCCTTTGAGACAATACTGGTCATTGTTCTCTAGTGATACTAAATCTTTTTAGACACTTTTTCTAGACTGTTTAAAAGGTATAATGGAGGCTTATATGTTACTTTTGAATCCTTAGGAGAATTAAATAAGATTGGAGTCATGATACAGATTCCTGAAAATTTATTCTCTTTATGCTCTTTCCTCATCTCTGACTTGCAAAAACAGAAGAAACCTCATTCCTTTTTGCTGTCTGTAGTACTCTTCTCAGGATTTACTAAATATAATATGTATTCTTTAGATACAGAACAATTTAAAAATAAGTACATAACACAAAGTAACATCAGACTTTTCATTTTGTTTACTCCAGGGAAAATATTTATCCCCAAGCAAAAGCCTGTACAGTCTTTTGCAGAAGAAAAATTCTCTCTTGATCCAGAACTGGAGGAAGCCTTGACCAGTGCCACAGACACAGAATTAGGTGACCTTGCAGGTTAGTTTTTTTTGAAGTATGAATGGGCTGGTGCATCTTTAGACAAGAAAGATCTATAATCAATGTGGTAGTGTATTTATCTGACCTCAGGAAGTTGTAGTTGTGATAGAAACTATATCATGTTATATGCCAGCTTCCTTGTAGCGTTTCAACTTTGTTGATTTGTGATAATTTATAGGAAGGTAAATTATTTTGGCCTGCAAAAGATACCTGATTTTCAAACTCAAACCCTTTAAATCCATTCCTGAGACTTCCTGGGTTTTGTTGTGTAGGTGACTGCTTTTTCTTGTGTATAAGAATGTGTTGTTATGTACCTGTGTTCCTAAAGCTTCATTTTGTGACTGAATAGCACTTTTAACTTTGAAGCTGGAACCCGGTGAGGTCAAATTTTTCTAAGATATGAAAGCCAACTAAAAAGTCTATAATTAATTTTTTTTCTACTTTTTAAAATTATTAAGGTATTGAATGGCTTCTTGCACTGTTAACTGGATGTTGTACAGACATCAGTTTTGTTATTTAAAGGAACCTTCATCTGAGCTGAATTAGTCAGGAACAATAAAAATGCTTTTTCTCTTTTTCCTTTTACAGCTATACTGGGAATGTCCAACTTGATAACAAACAATCAGTTCTGTGATGTAGTAGGAAGCAGTAATGGGATTGACAAAGACAGCTTCTCAAGTAAGTGTTTAAATGCAAGTGCTGGAAAAATTAATTCTTTGTGCTGCACGCAGTTACTATTGCATTAACTATTTTCTGTTGCACCAACATTCTTTTAGATTCTTTAGTCTTAGTCTGGAAATGTGTATGTCTATAACATTTTCTAATTGAGTTCTGGAATTACAATATACGTACGCTAAACTGAAGTTAAGTCACTTCTTGGTGACAAAAGTAGGCATAAACATGCATTGTGTGTGTTGCTTTTTAGGTTTTATATTTGTGTTTGCAATTCAACTTCTGTGTGCTTTCTGAAAAAAGCTGGTGTGCAATAAAAGCAGAAAGGCTGTAAAGACCTTTGGAAAAGAATTGAACTTTATGAAAGTATTTCAGGAGGGGATGGTGTGCTTTTTGTGTGGGGGAGAGATGTAAAGACTGATGAAACGATCTTTAAATACAGTAAATATTTAGTATATGTATCATTTATTCACAGTGAATGTACGGAACCTGTTTGACTACACTTAAATGCCTTACTTTTCAGATATAGTAAAAGGTGAAAAAATGTTGCCTGTTTTCGATGAACCACCAAATCCCACAAATGTGGAGGAGACGCTGCAAAGGATTAAAGATAATGATTCTCGTCTAGTTGAAGTTAATTTAAATAACATTAAGGTAATTACCTGAAGCCTGCAGTAAGTATGCTGCTTTTTCTCAGTAGAAGACACTTTAAGCTGCAAAACTCTCTAAGAGAGCATGAGAGGCTTATTTTAAGTACAGCAGCCTTTTTGCTAAACGTTGCAGTGTGTATAAGCTCAGAAACCTGGAGCTAAACCGATAAGCCATCTTGGTTGCTTTTGCCAAATGTGGATTTAAAAAGTCTTAGACTTTCTTACTGCCAGCCCAGATTTCTGTTGCTGCCAAGTTGGCAGCAGTTCACTGTTGTGAACTACTTTTTTGAATCCTTTGTCCTTGATGGAGCAACGTGCTCTCAGTTATTGCAGTTGCAAACAAAGTTATATTTGTACCTGACATGCTTCTGATTCTTGTACAAAAGAGCTGTTGTCCGTTAGGGCAGCTTCTGAGTGTAACAGTTGTGGTTTTAAATGTGACAAACTTTTGTATATTTGCTTGAAAGAAAACAGAACTGTAGCACTGCTGACTTACAGTGCAGACAGCAGTGACAGCCTTGTCAGCAGCCAAGGCTACTTGTTTCACTTACTAAAGGTTTAAGAATACTGTATTATACATAAACACTAGCCAAAATAGCTGCCTAAAAAGGCAACAGATCAAAATTCCTGATATAATAAACTAAGAAATTTGCTACCCTAATTAATTATCTAAAATTATTCCTTTTAAGCTTGGTTGATACTACCCTGTAAAAATTATTGCTTTATAGAATTGGTGACCCTTGTAGCCGTTGCATCTTTACTGTGAGACTGCTCAAGACCAGTGATAGTTAATATTATAGGACATTTTGCTGTAAAAAGAATAAGATAATGAAAGAAGCTGGGGTGGGGGGGAAAACTTACATATCTCAAGAGAGTAAAATGCTATTTTTAATTCAAGAACATACCAATTCCAACGCTGAAAGAATTTGCAAAAGCCTTAGAAACCAACACACATGTGAAGAATTTTAGCCTGGCAGCCACCCGAAGCAATGATCCTGTTGCTGTTGTAAGTATCTTGATAATGTGCTAAAGTGGGGTGCAAGGGAAGTTAGGATGGAAAGGCAGTGGTAAGGGATTGAATTTAATCCAGTTTAAATGATGAGGGATGAAAATGATTACATTCTGTTACGCTGTAAAGTATGTTTTCTTTAACAAACCTTTGTTGTGTCAAAGTTGGTAAATGATTACAAGCAGACTAATATGCAGCAATGCATCACCTGTGAGATGAGTGAGAACTCTTGTTTCCAGTCCCTTCCCCCTGACTTTTCATTTTGCTAATCTCTTTCTTGTTTTTCTTTCTTTCCTAATTGTTTAGTTCGTTCCAGTAGCCAATAGTGTATTCAAAATTAATTTGCAAGAAGCACATTAGAGAACTGAAAAAGCTCACAATATTTTTTAGCTAACTAGAGTTTTAGTTGATGAAAATTGTAAAATGCCTGTTTCTGTGATCTCCCTGCTACCAAAGATTTGCTTAAAGCATTGGTATATACAGCATAATATTAGTCAAAGTATCTAGTTTGATACAGTTTAAACTAACTTATCATCAGGTCTTAGTTTTATCTATGTTGAATCAAAAGCAGTACCTTATTTATTTGCAAAGAAAGAGGTAAGGAAACAAAACTAATTGTTTTGACAGAACAATCCTTTGCATTTGTTTTAATTTCAAATTAAAAAGGAATCTAGCTTGAAAGACAGCATTAAATAATGAACATTTGAAAGCTTTGGTTTTGGGTCAATTAAAAAGTTCTTTTCAGCAAGAGTGAAACAGAATGTAATAAAAATCTATAAAGACTTCTTTTCTCGGGTATGGTTTTTGTTGGGTTTCTTTGCATTGTGACTTGATAGAAAAAAATGTACAGGGTATGATTTTTATGACAGTAAACCTCAGCAGTCAGCTATTCTTGTTTTCTTCCTTTCTCAGAAGTAGGATCAGGTATATTTCCATAAAAGTGCTTTTAGCTACATGCTGGTACTGTGCTTAGAGCTTTGAATTTTACCTCTTCCTACCAAATCTGTAGGCACAAGCATTCTGACAGTCAGGTCTCCTGTTTACAAATTAACCATATCCAGTTCTTTCAGCTAACTAACGCCCTTTCTTTGGCCTTCACTTAGCAGCTTGCATTACTCATTGTAGGCTGGGAAGGCTTACAAAATGGAATTGGTCCAATATGCTAATTTCAGACAATTTATATTCTGTGTAGCTTTTTAGTTTGTAACAAGAGAAAGACAGGCCTTTTCTTGACTCAATACTATTTAAAAAGGGAATGTAGATAATGCCTGGTTGAAGATTCAGTTCAGTCTCAAGTGAAAGCTTGCAAAGTTATACCATGTACTGGTGAACTTGTTGCTCCTATGGAACTAGTTCCTATGGAAATGATTATTTCTATGTCTATGATGTACTGTAGCACAATTCAAAAGTTTAATGATACTTTCTTACATTCAAAGGCTCTTGCAGATATGTTGAGAGTAAACACAAAATTGAAAAGTTTAAACATAGAATCAAACTTCATCACTGGAGTTGGAATTCTGGCACTAGTTGATGCACTGAAAGACAATGAAACGTTGACAGAGATCAAAATTGATAATCAGGTAAGTGAGGTGGTGGTGGTGATATCAAAGCTAAAACCAGCCAGTCATAGTTGACTGAATATTTTTGGAAGACAGCTTGTGATAAACTTTTCTAAATATTTTAGGTTTAATTATCTTAACACCCTTCATAATTGCCCTTAAGATTCTCGGAAGCACACAGCTGAAGTTGATTCCAGGTCACTTCTGTGCTTCCTGGTGCTTTGAAGTGCACAAACATATTTTGTGACCTTCTGCCTATTCAATTAATCACAATGAAGCTGAGTGTTTATTGACTGATTTGGTTAAAGTATTCTGATCTCTTTTAGAATGAACACATATAAGCTCTGTTGTCTTTGTGTACCTTTTATTTTAACAGAGGCAGCAGCTGGGCACACTTGCAGAAGTAGAAATTGCCAAAATGCTTGAAGAAAATACCAAGATCCTCAAATTCGGATACCATTTCACACAACAGGGACCTCGAGCCAGGGCAGCTGCAGCTATCACAAAAAATAATGATTTGGGTAAGACCTGTCAGTAGAGACTATTAACTGAGTGTGTGTGTGGCACAGGCTTTAAAGGTGTCTGGTTATTCTGCTTCTCCCTTGACAAAACCAGGATAGCACAATGTTAGATCAGTTTAAGGTTTCTCCTGTGCTGTACTCCTGACTCTTTTGTTGCTGCTTGATGTTCTCTGTTTTGTTGCAGGGTGTTCAGGTATATGAGTTGAGGGTTTTTAACATAGTCTAGAACAAGAACATTCAAATTCCATGTGAGTTGTGGCAAAAGGAGTGAAAATAATAGTTTTGATTGTTCAGTTTTATTCAGATGAGATTCACTGCTTCTTTAAAAGCAATACTGGAAATGAAGAGTGTAGGATGCCCTGTTGAATGCCAGTACCCCCAGTCTCATCTCGAGTGCTTAAGCAAGGAAACCGAACATCTGTCACGTGCAGAGCCTGGGACTGGGTCATCTCTTCTGGTCATGCACTAGTACCATCCCTGCCTCTCTAGCTGGTAGCAGTGGCATCTTTATTTGCTGCAGTCAGTTTTGTTGGAGCTCATCTGTTAGAATCCTAACTCAATGGATCAGCAGAAAATCGGTTAATAATGTAGCACATGAGTGGAAATCGTTTGTATAATGTCAAATACTTGTAGCACTCAACTACAAGATAATGTGGTCCATCTGTTTAAATAGAATTGCATTTTAAAACTCTATTTAATTAGATCTTCTGTCTTTAGATGCTTTGTGGTAAAGATTATACGTCTCATCAGCATGAAAATGGGCCAGGCAGTTTAGTAACAGTAGCAGTAGTTCAGGAATATATTAGAGGGAATGACATAGGAAATTGGAATTTGGTTTAAAGATCTGCTTCCCCTCTGAGTAAAGGTTAAAGTTGAGGAGAACAGCTCTGAAAGGTATGGAGGAGGAGTAACTAGAAAAGAGCACAGAGAGAGAAGAAAGGCATTCAGACACTCTATAACTGTTTCTCAAAATAGATTCTAAACCAGTTATTTGTCATAATGCTTCAGGTATCTTTTTACTTTCTAAGGTTTCTCTTCTCACTAGTTCTCTTGTTAGTGCTTGACTGTTGTAAATCTATTTTTCTATTGATATCTTGCCTTTTTTTCTTTGCTTTCTTAGTCTGGAGTATGTGAGTAAAAGTTTCTGCAAATACCTTTTCATCTCTCCAGCCGTGAAGCTACAGAGACAGGTCACTCTGAATACCCAGCTGGGTATTCAGCACTGAAACTCAGATGTTCCAAGTCTCTCATCTCTGTCTTTGTACGTTTCTTCCAAAAAAATAGTCTGCATCTACATCTTCTTTCTCTCTTGCTTACACTGTGTTGTACTACTTCCCTGTTCTTTGTCTGAAACTGCACCTGTTGCTTTTAACTGCATGATTGGAGAAGTCTAAGGTTGGAAATTCTTTCCTCTGTTCTTGCAATTTGATGAAAGCAGGTGTGAATAACTTCTGTCACCTACTTTCCAATGAGTGGCTTTGAGAACAGAATCACTTTCTTTGTATATAGATGTGCTTGCTAGACTTTTTAAAATAAAATGGAGATGGCCTATATAATTTGTAAGACCAGTAGCCTTGTTTATGTCTGCACAGAAAAGGAAAACATAATTTGATAGGGTGAAAAAAATAGCAAAAATAATACAAATATTGAGGAAAACTCCAGTCATTCAGTCTAATATAGCATGTGAGCTTTTAGTGATTTTATTCACAAATTTTGATTGCTCTTGCATTTTCTAACAATTAAATGTTTTATTAATAAATGGAATGTTTTAGGCTATTGAATGTAGTATCTTCTCTGTGTGTATAAATTGTGTTAGATATACTGTGAAACTCTTGCACTGTTTCCTTTGAAGCCATATAAACTTAATTTAGCACTAGAAAACTGCAATGAAAAAAAAGAGTACTGGCTAAATCTGCTTACCAGACATAAGATGATTAATGTTTCCCACAAGTCTTTCCTTGCAAGTGTTTGCAACCGTTTGTGAATAAGGCAAGAAGCGCTGCTGAAGCATAAGCTTAAAATGATGGATTGCACTAAGTGTTCATTACCTTAAGTTGTACTGTGTGAAACCTCAGGTGGCAAATAAATGTTCATGTTGTAGAAATACAAAAAACTGTTACCATGATAAAACAGCAACACTTTTTTCTTTGTCTCTCTCGTTACAGTTCGCAAGAGAAGGGTTGAAGGAGACAATTAGCAATGCTGCTGTCAAAACCCGGTGGAGTCATCACGGTCAGCACCGTGGGCTTTGGCAATCTGGGACTACATTGACCTGGCTTAGAAGGGAAAAGACTGGAAACCCCATTCCTTTAAAAGCAAAGCTATATAATCTGCTGGTATGCATCACGTTTTTCATGGAGACACAGTAACTGCACCAGTCTCTGTACCATGGTTTTTGACTGGGTTTTTTTTTAAGAACTTTTTTTGTATTTCAAGACTTCGGCTGAGCTTTCTACTTAAAATATAATTGCAAATCAATGGTATAATTGTCTGTAGTCAAAGAATGGGACATATAAGGTCATTGAGAAGATAATGACCCAATTAAAATGTTTGTTAGAAAATCCGGGGGTGCTTATTTACGTGGAGGGGTGTGTCTATTCCTGAAAACAATGGGTTAGTGATAAGGGATTCTTCACCCAACAGCTGGACTCATTGTGTAGAGCTGTTCAGCTTTGTTCATATGCACTGAAATCTTTCACAGCAATGTTATTTGTAATTCTACTGTTTTATTTTTTATTAGTTCTTGATACTGTGAGTAAGTTTAAAGACATCCCTTTAAGGCAAACCAAAATAAATGGGCTAAGGACTTCTCCCAAGAGATTAGAGGGACTCATACAAAAGACTTGCAAAAAAAAAAAATTAGGAGCCTTGCAAAATGACAGGTTTTTTTATTACACCTAAATCCTTTAAGTATTTTTCAAAAGTGTGTCTTGCTCTGTATCTAAACTGGATATATTTTTAGACTGATTTCATGTGTTCATCAACATTATTTAGTTTATATTCTTTGTTTAAAAATCTTTATCTACATTCACAAGTATCAATTTCTCTAGAAGTAGTGGACATGCATATTTTAAATTCTGCATAACTGTACAGGAAGAGCAACCTTAAGTGTAAAACCACTGACCTAAATTGCTGGCAAATGAAAAATCCTTTATTTGAAGCTGTTGTATTAAGCTATTTGTACTTCATATAAATCTATCATTTTTTTAATACTGAAGTAACACTTTTCAGAAAGGATTTTTCTATTTTACTTATGTCTCGATGTTGGAACACTACCTAAGACATGCAAAAATTAATCAATCTGTAGTGTCAGATCTGTATGATGTAGTAATTATTAAAGTATTTAAAGTTGTTTAAGCGAACTAATAAGGCAACAAGAATCACTTCAACTTCTGCACATAACCACAATACACTTCTTTGAAATAATATAAAAACCTAGAGGCTTTTTGGTTAGGTCTGCTTGGACTGCCCTGTACTAGTTTGCTTTGAGGTCACAAAAATGTTCTAAAGGACTGCTTGGCTATATTTATAGCAACAGAGAATTCAACTGACAACTCTTTTCATTCAGAGATCTTAATGTGGTGAGATCTTATGTATAGAAAACATATTTATGTGGAGGGGCCTGAGATGTTTGCATCAGTTTGTATATACCATAAGAACCTAACAGAGCAAGTCTCTGACACTGTGCCCACGTTGTAATTTGCTGCAAATCTTGTTTTGGATCTTTAAAGACAGACTTTATTCCAGAGGTGACTTCGAATTTTACTGCAACAGTGAATATTAAACTATAGTGCCTTCAATGAGGATGCATATAATTGGTTTATACGTGTGGAAGAACTTTTTTTTTCCTATTTCAAAATCAGCCTTTTATTAGAATTACAAATAAATATGTGCTCTTCAAAACAACTTGGAATTAATTCTGTTAAAACCAAAGACTATACTTACTATAACCTTGAAAAAACTAGGAGTGATCTGATGAGTAACAAAAAGGGCTTCTTTTGGGTTTAGCTTTCGTAAATTTCCAAGAACTTGATAGATTTTGAAATTTAAGTTCCTATACAGTGTGCATAAAGTCACATTTAAGTGTCTTTTTTTACAGATAGTGCTGTATAAAGATGGCCAAAGCATGTCATGTGCTGAGTTGCCTAAAGCTGTACTTTACTTTTTATTTGCTAGGCACCGTAATCATTTTGTGTCAAAAAACAGGCTGTGATGTCTTCCTTCATTTGTTGAAGGGCTGCCATATTCAGAGAATCTGTTCACGTATTGTGATTCTATGATGACTTATTTTATCATTATCTAACAAGATTAGACAGTTATCTCCTACTTGAAAATTAAGGACAAAATTGAAAGGCTGGATTATGGAAATGATGGCCCAAATCCCTTCCTTACTTTTGTTAAATCAAGTTTAGCTGTTTAATTATTTACATCCTAATCAAAGGCAGGGGCTTTTAAGCTGCAGCTCTCAGGTGTCCTGTCACCAGCGATAGTAATGGACCTTAATAATTGGTTTAACTCTGTAGACAGCAGGTAAGAATTTGACTTTGTCAGCACTTTAAGGACAGGTATCTGACAGACTGGGCATAGAAAACTTTGTTGTTTTGGCATGGTGCATGGAACAATTAACAACAATCACTTTTGTGCCTGCAATGTGTGTCCTGTTTGGAATAAATGAGGGAATTCAGTCTGTAGCCAGGAATCGTACACGGTCTCAACAAACCAAGTGGACGCTCTGATGTCGTGCTGTAGGTGTGGTGAGATCCTGTGTATGACTTCATTGATTCTGCGTGAAAGAGTGGTATTGCTTTGATAACCACTTACCAGAGACACAAGGTCTTTTTTCTGAGATGATATTTTTTTCATATGGATTGTTTTTCAGCCTCAATGAAGAAGTCAAATGACTGCATATATTGATTCTGTTGGTTCCCAGCTAAGCATGGAAACATAGCCTATAATTCAAAGCAATTATCTATTACTGTTGTATTTTAAAGAAATAGCCTCATTCTCTCTACAGCTTGAGTAATCTTGTGTTTGTAAGCTACAAACAAGCAAGTGTTCAATTTAAATTTCCATTGAGGAAACATGCATTGAGTTTTTTAGCCTATCAGCACTATATGCTGTCAGATTGTAAACCAGTAAACGCTGTGGATGATTAAAGTACTGTATTCTTGTTGTGGTTTTGGGGGTTTGTTTGTTTGCTTTTTTAAATAGTACACTGACTTGCTTAAAACTGACCCATGTGTTTATGTTGTGTCAAAGCAACACCTTTCCTTCTCCAGAAGGAAAGTGAGCGGAGTGACGGTGGTGGAATGAAGGGCTGGTGCTGTGGAGCGGGATTTCACTCCGCACAAGCGGGCCCTGAGGGATGCGGCGGGGCGTGAGGCTGCTTTGTGCAGCTGCGGTTCAGCCGCACTGGGCGGAGCAGGGCGGAGGTGGAGACGGGCAAACACGATCCCTTTCTTTGACCCTGGCGGAGTTCCCGCCTCCCTCAGGCGCCGGAGCCCACACGGACACGGCCCCTTTAAGAGGCGGCGCCTCAGCCCTGGGGCGGGGCCGCGCTCGCGGCGCTCGCCGTGACGTGCCCGCGCGCGCCGGCGGGGCCGCGCTGCCGCCATGGCCGACATGGCGGATCTGTTCGGCAGCGACGCGGACTCGGAGCCCGAGCACAAAGGTGCGGGTTTGTCGCCTCCCTGTCATCCCTCCATCCCGCACGGGTGGGCCGTGCCGCCCGCCCGCCCCGTATCGTCCCTCTCGCGTCACCCGGGCTCGGGCGGGAGGGCGGGAGCGGCCCGCGGGAGGAGCGGAGCCGCGGGCCGAGGGGTCGGTGCCTGCAGGGGAGGGAATGAGGGAGCACCTCCCGGCTTCAGTCCTTAGCGTGTTTTCAAAGAACTTGTCTCCATTCTTGTAAATCGCTTTTCGAGGCAGATATTTTATTTTCCTGCTCGAAACGGCGTTCACCAGCCTCAGCATTGACGAGTAGCTCCAATGGCAAAAATGTGCCCGGCTATATGATTTAGGTTAAACACATGGTGATTTGAATTTGTAGGATATTGTAAGCCACGTGCATGTAGTTACTTGTTTAAGCCTTCTGTATTTTAATAATCTTATTTACCTTTGTGTAATTCCTTATTCCTTTTACAATTTCAGAATCTTAGATCATAGCTCGTGGCTTGAAACTTCATGTGGCATAATTTTTTTATTGTGTCTTTCTTCGGCTGTGCCTTTATTAGCAGACATTTTATTTTACTGTACTTGGTAACTTTTGTCAGTCCTTCTTACAGTTCTCTGTGGGTTCTCTCTCTGGGGTTTGCCTTGGTTTTGAGGGGGGGTTTAGTGTTAAGCAGTGCCCATCATCTTATGTGCATCCTTGTAGGGACATCTTGACTTTTGAAAGGGTGATGTTTGTTTTGCAGATTCTGATTCTGGATCTGATTCAGATTCCGACCAGGAAAACGCTGGTTCTGGTAGCAACGCCTCTGGAAGCGACAGTGACCAGGACGATGACAGGGAGGCAGTAAAACCCAGTAATAAGGAGCTATTTGGAGATGACAGCGAGGATGAAGGAGCATCCCATCACTCAGGCAGCGACAACCACTCTGAAAGGTCCTACAATCGCTCTGAGGCCTCGGGGCACTCTGAGCATGAGGACAACGAGCAGTCGGACGGGGACCAGCACAGCGCCTCAGAAGCTGCTCATGAGGACGACGAGGACGATCGTGATCACGGCTCAGATGAAGGCAGTCACCACTCAGAGGGAGATGGTTCTGAAAAAGCACATTCAGAGGACGAGAAGTGGGGCAAGGAGGACAAAAGTGATCAGTCGGATGATGAGGAGAGGCAGCAGAACTCTGATGATGAGGAGAGGCAGCAGAACTCCGACGATGAGGAGAAAGCGCAGAACTCGGATGAGGATGAAAGGCCACAGGTGTCTGATGACGAGGAAAGACTCCAGAACTCGGATGAGGAGAAAATGCAGAACTCGGATGATGAGGAGAGGCCACAGGCCTCGGACGAGGAGAAGATGCAGAACTCAGATGACGATGAAAGGGCCCAGCGTTCTGATGAGGAGAAGATGCAGAACTCTGATGATGAGGAAAGGGCCCAGCACTCTGATGAGGAGGAGCAAGAGCACAAATCCGGTAGGACTGAGTATGGAAGTAATGATTTGCTGCTGGTTTGGTCTCTGTTGTTCTGTTTACATTGGCCTGAAAAGATTCAAACTTCAGTGTAAAGGCATTAATTGTGTAGCTTTCGACTGTAGTCATCTTTGTAATGCTTTTCTTATGCAGCTCTTTTAAAATTCCTTTTCATCTGAATCAGCTTATTAATACAAAGGCATTTTAAAATTTGTGGAGCAAAGTTTTTAATTTGCTGAGAATAATTATGCTCCTTGGTAGAGTCTGCAAGAGGCAGCGACAGCGAAGATGAAGTTCTGCGAATGAAGCGAAAGAAACCAATTGCATCGGATTCAGAAGTGGAGAGTGATACAGAAGGGCAGAAAGGTAAATTGTGTTGTTGTTCTGTGGGGGTTTGATTCCTTTAATCATCATCTTGAGGTGCCATTCATCTGCTCCAGGATAGAATTAGTAGCACTTGCTGTACATGTGACTGTAGTGCCATGGAATTAATGAAACAGCGGGAATTCTGTGGGGGAGATACATGCTGTGCTTCTGATTCTCTCTGGTTAGTTCTGTCAGCTTTTCAGCTTCTTCCATGAACTTTTCTTCTGTGAATGTTCTTTCATATGTTTTTATTGAAAGGTGTTAAGAAATGGTTCCTTTAATCAGAGCAGCCCAGGGAACCTGTACTGGTTTTTGTGATGGGTTAGCTGGCTTGAGAAAGAAGTGTTGATTTTCTGAGAAGTAAAACCTCCAAAATGTGTAATGAAGTTGCTGTTACTTATATTCAAGTTACTTGAATAAGGATTATCTTACATTCTTCTGTTGCCTTTTTTCAACTAGATTCCCTTATTTGATAGAGCCTTCCTAGGAAAACATACCTTGAATCCTTAGCTTAAAAATACATGGAAAAGCTGTTTTTTAGGATAAGGGAATAATGTAGGCTTCATAAACATTTGAAATTTTTAACCTCTGTAGGTGATTTTAAGTGTTAATAAGAGTGAGGGATTTGTTAACCTTTTTTTTCTGTGAGTGTTCTTGCATTAGGGCTGTGTGTGCACATATATGTGTGTTTTAAAATAGAAATTTTTCTGCTCAAGAGCATGCAGATGTCATGGATCTGTTTGGAGGTGCAGATGACATTTCCTCAGGGAGTGATGGAGAAGACAAACCACCGACCCCAGGACAGCCCATTGTGAGTAGACTTGACTTTTGAGATAATGGATGCACCATTCCACTCTGAAATAGAATTTGATAATATTTGAGTGAAAAAAAGTAATGGCATTTAGTAAGCATAACAGATAATTTTGTCCCAACTGAGAGAATTATTAAAGTTTTATACATAACTATCATATGAATTCATTTGTCTGCCTTCCCCCATCCCTGCTCTGCTTTTTGAATAGTTTGATTGACATAACATACAAAGCCATAGCTGTCTTTGATACCTTATTACAGCTATTTGAAAAATATTTTTATTTTGATGATAAATTTTCATCTCTTGATAATACAGAAAAATATCTTTTTTAATCTGGGAGTTGTTGCCCATTTAGTCTCCAGTGCTTAACTGAAAACTGTAGATCAGCTTCTGTGCTGTTCTTTACTGTCTGTCTCTGGAGTTTGCACTGGGATTTGAAGTCGCTTTAAGTGGCACATGAAAATGCTGAATTGAATTGCTTTCAATAAAAATGTGTGAGTTCTTTTTTACCCCATCTCTCTCTGTGCATGTGGATGACATTTCTTTAAGGAAAATGTACTTATTAGAGCAGCAGTAGCCAGATAGACTTCTTTTCACTTATACTCCTCTTCTCCATTTTTTCATTAGGATGAGAATGGACTGAGTCAAGAACAGCAGGAAGAAGAGCCTATTCCAGAGACCAGAATAGAGGTAGAAATACCAAAAGTGAACACAGACTTGGGTAATGATTTATATTTCGTGAAGCTCCCCAACTTCCTCAGTGTGGAGCCCAGGTAATTGCACATTAAATACATGACTTTTTGGTTCAGCACTTGTAGCAAATTGCTGTTAAATCTGTCTCTTTGAGTGTTTTGTTAAGCAACTTTATTGGAAGTTCAGTAGGTGCCCTGTTAGGTGGCAGCACAGCCTTGTTTCTGTCATAGCTCAGTGAAATCATCCTTTCTGGCCTCTGGCTCTAGGCTGCTTCCAGAGAGAAATGTTAAGAATCCCGTTAGTGACTGTAATCACTGAGATAAGTCCTGGTGTTCACTGGGGGTCAGACAGGACTGAAAATAGAATTGCACCGTAGCAGAGTCTGTTTATCACTGTTTTTTCCCTTGCAGCAGCCTGGAAATTATTAGGAAGGAGGTTAGGGAAAGTGTTCCCCCACCCACTCCCATCCCAGTCATCAGAGAGGAAAAACAATCTCATCTTCCTTTCTCTTTGACTGGTTTTGAGGTTGAAATTTAAAAAAATATGAAGATTGTGCTCTTAGAAAATTTCCAATTCACCTCATTTATAAGATGATTTTTTTTTCATTTTATTCTCTGTACAATGTATGTATTTTGTTCCAGACTTAACCCTCACCCCATCATCCTGATACTAAAGAAACAGCATTTTCTGAGGCAGACTTGCTTTTTTCAGCTAGAACCATTTGGAGGGTGTGAATGTTACCGTGGCTGTAATCCTTGGTAGTGAGGACACTTGGGTTGGGCCCCTGAGGTGGGGAATCAATGCAGTGATTCCTTGCTGCAGGAATGGCTGTCTCACTGCAGTGCCTGCTGTTGTGGGCAGGTTATAATTTAAAATTTAAATTTTCAAGAACCTGTTATTTTGCACAACTCTAGAATAATCTGGATTAATCTTTTAGAAGAATAAAGAATGTATTTTAAAATTTATTGCAGACCCTTTGATCCCCAGTATTACGAAGATGAATTTGAGGATGAGGAGATGCTTGATGAAGAGGGTAGAACTAGGTTAAAACTCAAGGTATGATTTTAAGTTTCTTTTTCTCTTTTATCTAGCCACATTTCTTCAAAGTCTATTTCAGATATCTTGGAATGGTTTTGAATTTGTGATTCAGATTAAGAAAGTCTGGACCAGTTCAGCACCGAGGACAGTTGATTCATTTTAGTAATAAATTTCTAAAAAGCTCAACAGCTGCTTTCCACATATAAAAGCAATACTTTTCACCTTCATTTCTTTGCATCATGCAGCAAATTATCAAACCTTTCTAACTGCAATTCTTGACCTATACAGAATATATTTTACCACAGTATTCCTTACTACGAGTTAGAAAACATGTTTTGGGTTTTTTCCCCACAGGTAGAAAACACAATACGATGGCGGATGCGACGAGATGAGGAAGGGAATGAGATCAGAGAAAGTAATGCACGGATAGTCAAATGGTCAGATGGAAGGTTAGTTTGGACTTTTTGCCATTGAAGGAATGCAGGTGTTCTTACAGTGATGTGCATGACATGCAAAATTGGAAGGTCAGCAAACTTTGACGTCAGTTCTGCGCAGCACAAATTATTTTAGTCTCGGTGCTTTGAAAAGTTTATACTCTGCTTAGTTTGGACTGAAATATAATTGTTGGCCATATATAAAAAGGAAACATGAAGGCTTTCTTCATTTAGAAATGAGACAAAAAAATAGACTGCAGTGGCTTTATCAAATAATTCATCTGTGAATCTCCTTTAAGCATGTCTCTCCACTTGGGCAATGAGGTCTTTGACGTGTACAAGGCACCGCTGCAGGGAGATCACAACCATTTGTTCATCAGACAAGGGACAGGTCTACAAGGACAGGCTGTTTTCAAGACAAAGTTAACCTTCAGGTAAACATGCTATTCTATATCAAATGTTGATACTATTTTTGCAATTAAGTGTTGTAACTAGTATATAAAGATGAGAGATACCAGTTGGTAAACCTTCAGACCTTAACTGTTTAGTAAGAATGTGCTATTTTCCAAAGGTTTGTCCTAAATTAGGTGTCCAAGCTGGAAAGGTTAATATGCCATTCAACTGTAATATATATAGGCTACATGTAATTTTTTTATACATGTGTTTTAAAAATGGATGATGCTTTTACTTTTGTGCAGATGAATCTTTGAAATCTTAACTGTGCTGGTCCTACCGTTGTCCTTTGAAAATGGATACATTTCTTAAGAGGTATTTAACCCATAGTAATCTTTTACCAGGCCACACTCTACAGACAGTGCCACTCACAGGAAGATGACTCTGTCTCTGGCAGATAGATGTTCAAAGACCCAGAAAATCCGTATTTTGCCTATGGCAGGTCGTGATCCAGAGTCTCAGCGCACAGAAATGATTAAGGTATTGTGGCATGGAACTCACACACATAAAATCTTCTGATTTAATCTAAAAAATCACAACTGTAATACAGCTGAACATTTTTAAACATTCTATGATTTATGAAAAACAGTATGTTTTGGAGTTTTAGGCAAGAGTTGTAAGCCGTGGGTGTGGTTTGCTTAAGCTTACAGGTGACAAAACTGGCAATATTTACAGTCTTTACACTGCTGTGAAATTATTACAAAAGCTGCAGTAGAATACAAAGGGCACCTGAGACGGTTGGTTTGGGGTTTTTTATCCATCAATCTTAATATATTGCTTCTTCCTTTGGACAGAAAGAAGAGGAGAGATTAAGAGCTTCCATTCGCAGAGAATCCCAGCAGCGACGGATGCGGGAGAAGCAGCACCAGCGTGGTCTGAGTGCGAGTTACCTGGAACCCGATCGCTACGATGAGGAGGATGAGGGAGATGATGCAATCAGTCTGGCAGCTATCAAAAACAGATACAAAGGTGGCATCAGAGGTAATCATAAACCTTAACAGCACGTTATTAGAGCCTGGGTGGTTCAGATAGATTAATTTCACAGGGCAGTCCTGATAAGACAGTATTTTGCCAGTTGATACATGAGGAGACATTAATTCAGTTTGTGTAAGTTTATTTGTTTACTCTGGACTTAGATTCTGTGGGACTTCCGTATTTTGTAGGACTAAATGTAGGACAATTATTTTTAATATTCTCTCTTCCTCACCAGTTTCAGATAAAGATAAATATTTGTCTTTCTATTTTTCTCTGCAGAGGAACGTGCTAGAATTTACTCTTCAGACAGTGATGAGGGCTCAGATGAAGATAAAACCCAAAGACTACTCAAGGCAAAGAAACTTAATAGTGATGAGGTAAGAAAGGGACTTTGTTCTTAAGCTGTTCATTCTTGATGAGGAAAATTTCAGTGCTAAATCTGATTTTTAAAGCTGAGACTTTGGTAGTTTTCATTAATGCCATGATAAATGTATTATTTGACTTGGCATGCTTTCCATGGTAATTAATCACCAGTTTCTTATACACTGCATTGTTTCATAGACATGAGTGGTTCCCAAAGGAGGTCCCTATTGTTATTGCTGATTTCAAGATGGAGAAATTTATGCAGTTATGTAAAATGACTTTACCAAAATTATGCAACGAGTAAGAGGATTTAATATTAGAATCCTAGTGCAGTGTTGTCCAAGCTACATGGTCCTCTCCTGTTTATTATGGAAATAGTGGAAGCATTTTACATAGTATTTCTACTCTTTTTAAATAGAGGAGTTAAAAAACTGAGTTAAAAAGACTTAATGTCTGTTGCTAAAAAGACATTATCCATCACCCAAGTATCATCCGAAACACTGGATCATGATCAAGGTAACTGCAGCTACAGCAGCAGTGCTATTTCCTCATCTAAATTTGTGTTTTATTAGTTTGTAATTTATCACTGCTGGGTATTATCACATGAGTCTTTTTTAGTTCAGGTAGTGTCGCTGCTGGTGCAGCGCTGCAGTGTTACACAAGGAGGAAGCTTGCTCTCATTTTCGCTTCCATACTGTGCTTCCTGTAAACTCCCCAGGAGGAATCCCTCACTTCCCAGCCTCTGGGTGTTTGCTGCATTCTGAATGCATGTTCTTGATGCTGGGACACTCCTCTTACACTGTCACCTGAGTATTTGCACTAATAGGCGTTGTAATGTGAAGCAGGAGTAAAAATTAGATTTTTCTTTGAAAGACATAGATTTTGGCTTTTTATTATACATTAGGAAATTTTAATATTTCAGAAAATACAACCACAGTCCTGAAGACCACAGTAGTGAGTCGTGTAGACAAAACTAATTTTGTGAGCTCTGTGAGTGTTTGTAGAAATTGAATTGTTTATTTGTAAGACACTACCAGGTGTTAGTTCGTGATACAGCGATGTCAGGACTTTGCAATTCCCTTCTCTCAGAAGAAAAAGTCTAGTCAACAGCATTACTCTGCTGCTCGAGGAACAATAGCCTCCATTTTAAAATGCCACGACTTGAAGGTAATATTCCTGTCAGGCCATGGAGGGGTGCTACAGTGTTACAGAAAGCCCAGCCATGTGTAAGTACTTATTTCAGGGCCACGGAGGAACTGTGATATTTGTAATACATATCCACATATGTGAATGACTGAGTTCCTTGTACACACACATGCTTTTATGTGCTGTCAGTCCACAACACAGCACAAATCTTTGTCCTGATAACAATTTGTTGCTATTACTGTAAATGTCAATCTGTGATTAATACACTTTATCACCACACAGCAAGTAGTTTCACTGTTAATGGGGGTATTCTGCTGAACAGGAAGATGACTCATTGAACAATAGCCCAGCTAGATTACAAGAGAATGCTTGTTTTGAGGAAGAGGCTATCACTGAGATTCCCACCCCTACTAATTTCTGGTTTCCATGCTTAAAATTCCTTCCTAACTGACATTCTTATGGTACTAACTTCATGCATTAATACAAAATAAAATGCTTTTGGATAAATAATTACTCGTTAGAGTTCTGAAGCTTTAATTAAAGTTCTGAAACTCGGTCTTTGATCCTTCTTAAAATCCAAGCAAGTTGCTTTAAAAAAACAAACCAAACCAAAAAAATCCCTCCACTTCCAAAACTGACAAATGGAAAAAGGGATGAGATTGCTTAGACATGAGTATTTTTAAAGATACTTATCTTTTTAAGCAATAATTGAGTTACCACTCAATTCATGTGACGTGTTCTTCACGTCACAACTGATGAGTTTTTCATGAATATCATGGCTAGGCTTCCTGAACGAGGATTTGGGAAGGGCTCTACCCACATTTGCTACAAGTGCACTGGTGGCTAAAGAGGCCAATGCGCGATAGACAAGACTGGTTGCAAAAGGCACAGCAGAAAGACTCCTTGGATGGTATTGGCAGGATACGATTCTTTCTGTGTTGTCTCTTCGATGGTGATCCCGCGTGCGTTCTCAAAGGAGGCAGCAGCGTTATGGGTTGTGTGTCTCCAGACCTCCCGATTGGAGGCCAGGGTAGACCAGTGATGGTGATCAATGTGGCCAAGGCTGAGATGTTGCTTCAGGGAGTCCTTATATCTCCTCTTCAGGGCTCCTCTCTTGCGGCAACCAGTGGCAAGTTCACCATAAAGCAAGATCTCAGGGAGGCGGTGGTCCTGCATCCTTGAGACGTGCCCTGCCCAACACAGCTGTGTTCTCAGCAACATGGCCTCAATACTTGTGACTGCTGCTGTTCTAGAACAGGCGTGTTAGTTACATAATCTGACCAGTGGATGTTCAGGATTGTGCAGAGGCAGCATTGATGGAGCGTTCTAGGAGACGCAGGTGGTGGCGGTGACTGACCCGTGATTCAGACCCATATAAGAGAGCCCACAGCACAATGGCTCTGTAAACACTGATCTTTGTACTTTTCTTCAGGTGTTTTATTTCATGACTAACTAGTGATTTGGAAGGATGATTCAAACTGAACTGGTGTAAATGTATGTGGAGTAAAAAATCAACATGTTAACTTTATATTCAGGGACTAAAAATGGAACATCCAGTCTATAAAAGTCATTATGTTATTACTTGCAAACAGGTAGTTAACTCAGTGATTTGAGTTCCTTTGACCAGCCCTTTGACACCTCATAAACTGTTATATTTCTTGGACTGTAAACTGGTGTTGATTCTGAGTACAAGTGGTTCCACATAATTTTTTTTCTTTATGCCAGAGAGTGGTTTTGGTTTTGTAATGAACAAAATGCCTACCCACTTGCAGGATTTCTTCTTTGCTTCAGTAGTTCTGATTTAGGGCATGTAAGTATAAATAGTCTCAAAACTTAGCAAAGCTACAATGGCTGCCTAAGGGGAATGTGTGTGTTTCTTGGAAAATTCACTGCAAATTTGAGGAGTTACCCAAGTTACCATGCTTGTAAGACTTGCTGAGAATGATATTGCACATTATAAATCCAGATTATGACAGAGACTGCCCATGCCATAGCTCAGACTGAGGCAGATGTGGTTGCAGGTCCACTGAGGTGAGCGGAGCTGCAGGGGTGGGGGCTTTGACACTGGTACAGTGGTGGCTGAACTTGAGTATTTCAGTTACCAAAATGGAAAACCCAGAACTGGTAATTTTGCTTTTCTTACAAGAAGGGCTTTGAGGTCTTTTTGTTGTTCTTCTGAGTTTGTTTTCTAATTTTAGCTTCAATATGGTGGTTTATTTTTGTCCTTTTTTACCTTTAGGAGGGTGAACCTTCTGGAAAGAGAAAAGCAGATGATGATGACAAAGCAAGTAAGAAGCATAAGAAATACGTGATCAGCGATGAAGAGGAAGAAGATGACGATTAATATTAAGGAAGAACAGCAGTTGATTTTGTTGTTGTTGTTTTTTATACATATATTTATATATATATTGTACAGTTCTCTTAGGGCAAAGTTGTAAGTAACCATAATGGGGTTATTTTGATAAAGGAAAATTCCAAAGTCTGCGTTTTTGGTGTAAATGAAGTTTTTTGATTTCCTTTTACTTTATAAGATTTTTCTCTTATTGCAGCACATGTTGCACCAGGGATCATCACAGTGCTGGTTTTTATCTTGCACAGCACATTTAAGTTTTGAAAATTGTAGTAACTGGTTATTCAAGTGAATGGGTCAATAACTTTACTGAGTTCATTGGGAGAAACCATGCTAATCTCTGTAAAATGCTTAAATGATAAATTTGTCTGACAGGGGTATGGTGATTTAGCTTGCTGTCTGTGTGGAAGGATTGGAAGAACATACAGTGGTACAGTACAAGTCTGTTTTTTCCCTAGATATTCCTTACTTCCTGTTTACAGTGGACAGCACATTACTATGCTGGTATATTTTGCTAGCTAAAAATATTTCTTGCCACGTTTGAGTAAACTGTGAAGTCCATGCAGTTAGAATAGTTAACTGATCGCAGAAGACATTTATTTTTCATGCATTGAAGCCCAGAATGAAAATCTGCATTTTCCCTGAGCATTAATAATAATAAACAACAAAAATAATAAGAATTGGCACATGCTAGTGATGTAAATGTCAGAGTAAAAGCACTCCTTTCATCAACTCAGTAATTTCTGCCAGCAGAGATGAAAGTATCCTTTAAAAGGGGAGATGAACCACAATGCAAAAATACAACCTAATAATAGTGTCTCAGAATCTCATATAATTCTTATGGTGCTATTTCCTATTTTTGCTGGTTGGTTTTATAAATGGGTTTTTTAAGCTGGGAAGTCACAGGAGGAGAATGTCCATTGCTGCTTTTACACTGTTTCTAAACACCTTATTTGATGATCAAATACCAGTTGTGAAGTGGGGAAATGCTGGAAGAAATACCTGAACTTTTCCACACTTTGTTTCCAGGATGACATATCCCATATGTGTTTTCTGTGGTTGGTGAAGGAGCATTCGTACATTCTCTGTGTTGCCTTTTTGACTGACTTTTCACACAGTCCTGCAGAACCTGGATATGACTTGAAGAAGTTGAGAAAATGGAAGTAGCTGAACACCTCTTTAAACAAAATCATTGACTGATGCTGTGCAAAGTTGATTATGTGGATTTGTGTTATGTAAGCTGAAATAAAGTAGCTGGTAGTTATTGAAGGACTGTTCCCCATCTCTCTCCTGCCCAGCTGAATTCTGCTTTTTTATAAAACAGTAGAAGGGTGAAAGTACCTCATAGTGAGCGCTTTGCTCGTGATATTCCCTGGTTCTTTGAGTTAGAGCTTTCAACCTGGACATCTTGCTTTTGTCCTCTTTAATTAGGACAGTTGTTTGTCACAATACTCTACCTCCACTTCTCCTGCCTGGAAGGGATGGGAAGCGCTCTGGCTGCAGTAGGACAGAGCTCTGCGTGTGTTAATGTGTACTGCTGAGCAGCTGACTGCAGTTTAGACATTTGCAAGTAAGAAAACAAAGTGAAAAATTTCGACTTGCAAGTCTGATTGCTTGAGAAACTATTCTTTTTTTCTATAATTAAATTATTATCTAAGAGTTTCTGTGCCTCTTTAATGTGCAGATAAAACCTTTCTCCATCTGCTAGAATTTTGACCCTGTAATCCTCTTAGTTTAGACCTCTGCTGGGAGACTGGTTCCTTACTTGAGGTTACCTGCTCTCCATTTGTAACCTTCTCAGGAAGAAGCCAGCTGTTTAGGAAGGGACTCATTATGGGTGTAACATGCTGTACTTTAACTTAAAAGCTTCCCAGATACCTCTTAAACAACAAATTTGGCATATGGAAACAGCACCATTTCACTGGTAATGTGTTTGCTTCTATGTCAGTTTAATGAAGATGTTGGCTATTTTTATTTTTACTACACTCCTAAGAGTGAAAATGTTTTAATCACTTTGATAAGTTTGATGCTGACTAAGCCTTTACTAAGTAAGTGGTCCCCTTTAGCTTCCAAAAATGAGGCTTTTTGTGGATTACGAAGATGAAAAGAAGTAATTTTTTTTACACTCTTGACTTTTGTAAATTGCTCTTTTAAAGTCTTATTTAAATGTGGACTTTTAGAAAGTGTTTTCTCAGCTTAAATTAGTTTAACAATCATCTTGTAATTAAAGTCACTTAAATGAACTTAGCCTTATCCACAGTATTTTTTTAGTTGTGGGTCTAATTTATAGTTTTATTTCACTCAAGGACAGTTTTTGCTATCCGTTTTCCAAGTATATAAAAATCTGTGTGTTCATCTAATGAGGGTGTATAAAGGGTATGTTGTACAGTGGCAGCACCAGCTCAGCCCTGACCTCTCACTGCCTGACTGGGCATTGCTAGAAAACCAAAACACTTGCTTCAGGTAAGAGGAGGATCAGATTCCCTGAGGAAATAACTTTTCTCTTTTTTAAGTAGGATGTGCAAATGAAGCATGCTAGGGAAGAAAAAGATAAATAAGTATCTTCAGTGGAAAATACAGGAATTTATTGCTATGTGTTCTCTAAAGTTACCAGCACAAACTGGTCTTCATCTCAGCACCCAGTGAAGTGTCCAGTTCACAGACTGTGCCTGGTCACAGTCACTGTTCACTTCAGGTCTGTACTGAAACTTTTTGCAAAAATTAGCCAAACAAACCAGGAATCAGCAATGCAGCTGCCATATGGGCAGGTTTGAATAGGGCCCTCCGAGCCCAGGGTGAGGAATTCAGCCCTGTCAGAGGGAGCCAGCTCTGGCACCGGGATGTTCCATGAGCTTCTGGAACCTTCAGGTCAGGGAAGAGGCCCAGCTGAGTACGGCACCCTTAAGGCATTGCTATCCACTGACTCAAAGTATTCCATTATGGGATTATATCTCCAGCTAAATGCAAGACACCTTCTTCTCTTGCAGTTGTGTTTAGTCTTGGATAGTGGGAATACATAAGGAAAATATTGACTTTTATCTTGCCAGCCAGCTGACTTATCTGGCTGCCCTTACTCTATAGGCATGCTGGATAGGATGTTCCTGTAAATAAAAGTGTTTGATGGATATTGAAATATCAATGTTTGATTTTAAATATCTTTAATTCCAGTGGGATGAAAAAATTATGGGGCGGGGGAATGAATATTCAAAGAGCAGAAGCTGTCCTGTAGTGGCTGAGTGAGCTCCAGAATTTTCTGCAGCTCTAACTGCTCCCATTCTTATCACAGAAGTAGCATCTGTGCATCCAGGTTATTTATGGTGCTTGTCTGGTTGATAATTACGTTTGTGTATACTGTAACCAGTTAGGTAATGTTTTCCCAGGATCTCCACTGGCAAGTGGCTCATTTTTGCTTTTGGAATAGAGTGTGGTAGAAAACTCCTTCAGAAGGGTTCCTTTGTGCCCTTCAGGTGGTTTGATGCTGCAAACAGTCAGCTCAGTCCACTGAGCTCTGTTTCCCCATGATCTAAGGGGGCTACATTTTCTTTTGGAAGCAGTTGGTTCACAGTTGCCTTGGGTGAAGGCTTTTCTGTTGTGAGCTGAATGAGTGATACTGGTAGTTTCATAGTAGTGGCAGAGCACAAAGAATTAAGAGCAAAGACTTGGAAGTTTCATAGCTAAGGAACCTTGTTAAGGACCTTGTCAACAATGAGCTCTGGGAAGCTCTACAAAACAGGTAATTGCTGTTGCTGCAGGTATGGTTTGGCATATGGAATCATAGGATATCTCAAGCTGGAAAGGAGCCATAAAGATTGTCAAGTCCAACTTGCTGCTCCTCTCAGGACTACTTTAAACCCTAGGACTAAGAGCATTGTCCACGTGCTTCTTGAAGTCTGTCAGGGTTGGTGCAGTGACCAGTTCCCTGGGGAATCTGTTCCAGTGATCAACCACTCTGCGTGAAGAACCTTTTCCTACTGTCCAGCCTGAGCTCCCCCTGACACAGCTTTGCTCCATTTCCTCGTGCCCTGTCACTGGTCACCAGAGGGATCAGCCCCTCTCACCCACTGTCCTCCTCCAAGCAGTTGTGGGCTGCAGTGAGGGCACCCCTCTATGGCTGAGCTGGCTGTGAGGCAGTGCATCAGGGCATTAAGTTCATTATGAATTAATTGTAGATAATATCAGCACAGACTTTGTCTGTCTAAACAACTGATAATTTGATAGTATCCTTACATTTTTTCTCCTGAAGAAAACCTTGTTTAGAAAAGTTGATTACTAGAGCATATTGATGGGCTGTTCTGTGCTGAGAAAGAGATGCTGTGCTCTGTTGGTGTGTTCCCTTAGTTGATAGTACATATGGCTGTGGGAGAACCTTCCTGTATGAGTGAGGGAGTCAAAATTCATGAGGGGTAGATAAGGAGGGATTGGTGTTTTATGGATACCACTCCTGTTTTTTTCATATATATCCATATATATGGATATATGGATATATATCGTGTCTCTGGACATGAGCAAAAACTTTCCTTATATCTACAGATGAAAATACTTTCTGAACATGATTGCAAAGTGACCACGTTTAAACTGAGAACATTTCACTAATCTGTGGATATGTTACCCTTTTACAAATCCTGTTTGATCTCTCGGAACTAAATAGGATTATTCTGGCTCTCAGACTTTTTCAAACACTAAACCTGGAGTAGCTGCTGCCATGTAGCAGGCAGCTCCATGTATCTGGTTGTCTGTCTTAAGGTTTAGTCCTGCCATAGCATGACATTACTAGATATAGGGGAAAATAAATCTATGAATGCTGCACTGCCAGTTTGAAGACTTGAGTCACTCTGTAATTTGGCACTTTACTGAACTTCAGGGCTGCTGTTTTCCGTGGCTGTGTACTACCTCTGCTCCTGGTTTTTCTTAGGACAACTTTCCCTTTGGTTAGCCAGCAAAGTTTCTGAGTAAGCAGGATTATCTGAGCTTTTTCATGTCATTTAAATGTCCTTAATACATGTGCAATGACATTTATTAAAGGCAGTTCTAGATTTACATCATGGGAATTATATAAATGTGCACTGCATTGTGATTGCAGTATGTTCCCTAGAAATACTTACACCTCTGCATAAGTCACACGGTCGTGTAGAGCAGTGTTTTAAAATTATTTCTGTCTCTGAACTTCCTTGCAAGGGATCCACACCACCTAAGAAAAGCTGGAAGGTTGGGAACAGGCTTCTGTTGGATGTGCAGAAGAGTTCATGCTGCATATTGAAAAAGGCTGAGAGCTGACCTGGGTGCTTGGGACAGTTCATAGTTTTGGATGTAGCACTGGATATCACAGTTGTTTGCATCTGACATAGAGTTGACTGCATAGAAAAACAATTCCCACATAAGCTGGAAGGAAGCTTTTTTCAGGGAAAGAAATTATTTTGAGGCATGTTTTGTGAACTCCTTTTCAGCCTCTCTTTATCCCCCTCCTTTTTTTTTTTTTTTGCCTTCCTTTCACAATATCTTATTAAATCTTTTCAGACCTTCCTAGGCCTAACAGGTTTTTGTTGTTACACATCATCCAAGGTGTGCTGGCAGATCAGCTCTATTGCCAGGGATCTAGAAATGAGGGCTCGAGCTTCTTGACACAGTTAAGAAGGTGTCACATTTGAGCTGGGGATCTCTGGGAGTGGTTGAAGTCTGATGCATTACATGCTGTGGGGCTGAACTCTGAGCAAACACATTTTTTTCAGCACACTGTGACCGTAAAATTTAAAAAGAATACAGCTTTCCAAGGTTATTAGAGATTTTAGGTAAACTGGCTTTTTGAAGGCCTTTGATCTTGAAGGGGTCCAGCTTTTAGGTGTTTCTTACATCAGGTCATATGGGTGTTTCAAAAACCTGAAAAGCTTTAAAATTAAAGGAAGTCTGAAATTAAATAGAGGGGGAAAATATGTTGGGGGTTTTTTTGGAAGCAGGGAAATGCAGAACTCTTAGCAGGTGTTTAATCCAGCAGAGGGGCTTTTTGGATGAAACTGGGGCTGTCTGAATCTGCAGCTGCCTGTCTGCAGGAAGCCACCTGCCCTGGGGCAGAGCTGAACAGGACCGTGCAAAGGAGGTGCACAGAAGGTGTGGGAGGGAACGAAGACATGAGTCACAGCCTTTTGTAGTGTGTGCTGTATCTTGGCCTCACACTCAGGGGGTTGTTGCAGCTGAGTTCGAGAGAGGCAGAAAGTTATTTCTTGATCTTTGGGAAATACGGCAATTAATGAAGAGTGGGCTCACAAATAAAAAAACCCAGGCATGCCCTGGCTTTCTATAAACACACACTAATTACTCAGAAGTACACAAGTTGTCTGCCAGAAGGATGTGTTTTTCAAATGGTGGTTCCAGATGGCCCCTTCTAAACCATATAAATATATGTGTTTTAAAACCGGTAACAAAGAAGGCTGTAAAATAAACTGAAAACTTGCATTAAAAAGAAAAAAAAAAAGTTAGAATACACACTAATGCAATTTAGGCTGAAAAAATATTCATATTCAACAACAGCAGCAGGAGATACTTCACGTATCTCCACACACACACACGTCTGCTGTGCCTTTGCACTGCCCAAGCTGTGCAGCTCCCCAGGCACAGCAGGATAACCTGTGCTGGGGCAGGAGGCTCCCCGTGCCCTGCTGGCCCGT